GCTAACAATTATGTTAGAGAGTGATAAGCGCTAATACGTAATAAAGCAGGGGTCCCGATTCCGACTCACAGTGACCCTGTAAGATAGAGTAGAACTGTCACAGTGTTCCCAAGGCTGTAATCTTTACGGAAGCAGACGGCTACATCTTTCTCCTGAGGAGCGGCTGGGGAGTCGGAACCACTGGACTTTCAGACAGCTAAGCGCTTAACCACTGAGCCACCAGGGCTCCTAAATAAAGCAGGGGAGGAGATGTGAAATGTTGGGGGTGTCGGAGGAAATTTTCATAGGACGGCCTCATGAGGGAGATGATTTTTTAACAGGCCTGACAGAGGCAAGAGAACAGCCACCTGGATATCAGGAACAGCACGCCAAGTGCAAAGGCCCTGAGGCCGAGCCCCGGGTGCACAGCAGATGAGCCGAGCCCAGCACCCAGCAGGGGAAACCAGAGACACTACGCAGCTGTGGGGTCCACAGCGAAGACTTCAGCTTCTACCGAGGGGATATGCCGTGACCTGATTGGAGCCATTGCTTTAACAGGGTCACTCGAGCAGCTCCGGGGGTGTCTTGGCTCCCTAGTGCCGTGTAACAGAAATACCACAAGTGAGTGGCTTTAGCGACGGGAAATTTATTTTCTCACTGTTCAAGAGGTTAGAAAGAAGTCTGAATTCAGGGCACCAGCTCCAGGGGAAGGCTCTCTCTTTGTCGGCTCAGGGGAAATTCCTTGTCTCCTTCAGCTTCTGGAGTCCTGGCGTTCCTCAATCCCTTGGTGATCTTCACGTGGCATCTGTCTTCCCCCGTTTGTCCTTCCTTGTGTCTGTGTCTATATTGTTCCTTGTAACTCAGAAGTGATTAGGTTTAGGACGTATCCTACGCTGATACGGCCTCATTAACATAACAAACAAAACCTATTCCCAACCGGGATCACATCCACAGGTACAGCGATCAGGGCTCCAACACATATTTTAGGGGGACACAATTCAATCCCTAAAGGGGGCAAGGGTGGCTAAACCTAGGCTAACGATTGTGTTTGGCCCAGGCTGGCGACAGAGGGTGCAGGGTGCTGTGGTATCCCACAGGTTCCTCTTCCAGCTGCTGGGAACATCACTCTTGGCTGAAGGGACCTGCCTTGCCCAAGACTACCCCCCTCGGAGACAACTGGAATCCAGTGACTGGTGGACGCGGGGAGTGGGGCTTCGTTTGGGCCACCCCTGAGGGCTGCCCACGCAAGCGCTCCCGAGGGATCAGTCGGGCCTCTGTTTTCGGCTACATTGAAAGGAAGTTACTTCTTCTTCTGCTGAACGTGCCAGGGCCCCACGACCTGCACAACAAAGACAGTGTGCATGTCACCACAGCACCTCCTCTGCCACGGCTGAACGGGCCCAGCAGGCTCCTGGCTCTTGGCAGGAGGGGAACAGCTACTACATCTCATGGAGTCTAAGCTGCACATTTGAACATTGCCAAAATCAGGCATATCTTAGACAATCAGTGGCTTGCTGTGGTTTAATTAGCAGTGTTTCTTCTTTTCAGTGCTACATAAAGTGGCGGTTCGCCTTAAGCTGATGGCGTTGTAGATTCTACAAGCTGTAAAGCTCAGGTGCTGGTCTCTGACCATAGGACAATTTCTAAACTATGTATAGTAGTCCTTGTGTAGAGTTTTAAATTCTGTGCTGCCAGGGAAGGTGGGAAAGAGGCGGACAGAAAAAATAACTTAGACTTGGTCCCTCCCTAAATGACCTTACTATATACAAGTGGAGCCCTGGTGACACAGTGGTTAAGCGTTAAGGCTCACCAAAAGGTCAGCAGTTCGAATCCACCAGCCACTCCTTGGAAACCCTGTGGGGGCAGTTCTACTGTGTTCTGTAGGGTCGCTATGAGTTGGCATCAACTCGATGGTAACAGGTTTGGTTTTTGATATACAAGTAGTCCTCAATTTATGACATATTTGAATTACAATGAACCGCACTTACAACGTCTGTTTTTTGTGGGTTTTTTGTACATCTTATCGTTAGTAATATGTACTACGTATAGTGTTGCAGGAAACCCTGGTGGCGTAGTGGTTAAGAGCTATGGCTGCTTACCAAAAGGTCAGCAGTTCGAATCCAGCAGGTGCTCCCTGGAAGCCGTATGAGGCAGTTCTACTCTGTCCTACAGGGTCGCTATGCGTCGGAATTGACTCCACAGCAAAGGGTTTTTTTTTACACTGTTGCAGTGCGTAATTTGCTGATGTTATCATTCTTAGATGTTCACTCACTGATGTTCAATTTTATGATTTACTGTTCAAAACACTGTATTTTGAAATGAAAACAAACAAAAGAGGTATTTGACTTATGTCAGAATTGACTTACAACAGAGTCGTCAGAACAGAACCCCATCGTAAAACGGGGACTACCTGTAATTCGTAAAACAAGGCTATTTGTAGAAAAGAGGCATAAAAACATTTCTCCAGCAGTCTGTGAGCAAGTGCCAACTAAAGTGTCCAGGTGTGAATGTGAGTGCATTCTGACACGGCTATCTGGAAACTCAAGTGTTTCAGGAGGTCTTCCTGGAAGAAGTGATCTTTGGGTTTAAAAGGAAAGAAATAGTGGGTATATCAGTTTCCTAGAGTCACTGTAATACCACAAGCTGGGAGGCTTATAAGAACAGAAATTTATTGTCTCACAGTTCTGAGGCAAAAAGCCCAAATCAGGGTATTCTAAAAACAAACCAAACCTGTTGCCGTCGAGTCGATTCTGACTCATAGTGACCCTACAGAACAGAGTAGAACTGCCCCATAGGGTTTCCAAGGAGCAGCAGGTGGATTTGAACTGCTGACCTCCTAGCTAGCAGCCGAGCTCTTAACTACTGCGCCGCTGGGGCTCCGAATCAGAGTATTAGCGGTGCGGAATCCTTTTGAGGACTCTGAGGGAGAATCTGTTCCATGCCTCTCTCCTATCTTCTGGTGGTCCCCTGCAACACACGGCATTCCTTGACTTGCAGCTGTATCTGCCTTTGTCATCATGGGCTGTTCTTCCTCTGTGTCTCTTCTCCTCTTTTATAAGGACACCAGTCATATAGGATTAGGACCCACCCTACTCTAGTAGGACCTTATGAGAACATTTTCTGAGAACATTTTCAAAGACTATTTCCAAACAAGGCCACATGCGCAGGTTAGGATGTCAACGTATCTTTCTGGGGGACACAATTCAATGCATAGCAGTGGGCCAGCAGCTAAACTACCTTCTTCAGTGGGTACACTTTTTCATGAGGTAGCAATATCTCCATTTTACAGGTGAAGAAACTGTGTGGACAGCTTATGGGATATCCTCCACAGCACAGTTGAATTTGTGAAGAAAAGAGCAGGAGGCTCAAGAGTGATTAAATCTCTGCCCCCGCTGTTCACCTCACATGTATTTGATTCCCCAAATCATCACCGGAGAGGTCTCCCACAGAGGACCGAACCCTGGTCTGGCCATTCCTGAATGTCTGCTAGGATATCACAGTGTCTGCTTCGCACCCAGGCACTGCCTGCTTCTGGAACAACTCCAAGAGTAAAGGCTTGGCCCACAGTCTCCCTGTTCTCAGTTCAGACAGGATGGGGCAGGAAGAGAGGACCAGGCTGGTTTGGCGGACTGGTGGAGACGCCCCCATGAAGGTCTCTGGGACCATCTGGACTTGCTCATCAGAAGAGAAAGAAATGAAACTTCCAAACCTAGGTCCCCTTTCCCCCAGGTTGCAGAAAACAGAGCAGAGGTCTGGGCTAGAACCCGGTGCCCACAGGGGAAAGTGAGGCACCAACAAATTAAGGTGAAGGGGTCCCACGGTGAGTAGCAGACCATGGTCTGGAGATCATGGGCCCAGTTCTGTTCTCTCCATGACAACACCCTGTTGGTCCACAACAGCTCCTCCTGGTGTGTCCAGTGGACTGCAAATCATCATTTATAGAAAGCAGTAAAGGCAACGCTTAATGAACACTGCGCCAGGCCCTTACTCTTTACTGAATTAATTCTTTAGGTGGTGCAATTGGTTTGTGCTTGACTACTAAACTAAAGGTTGGAGGTTCTGACCTACCTGGCAGTGCTGCAGAAGAAAAGCCTGGCAATCTGTTGTTGTTGCTAGTTGCCGTCACATCAATTCAAACTCATGGCAACCCCGTGTGTGTGTCAGAGTAGGACTGCTCCGTAGGGTTTCCAAGGCTGTGACCTTTAGGAAGCAGATCACCAGGCCTTTCTTCCGAGGCACCTCCAGGTGGATTTGAGCCCCTAACCTTTCAGTGAGTAGTCCAGCGTTCAACCATTTGCGCCAAGCAGAGACTCCTTCTTTAAGACTGCAGCCAAGAAACCATTATGGCGCCGCACAGTTGCACTCCGTAACACATGGGGTCACCAGGAGTCCGAATCTACTCCCAGGCAATGAGTTTCTCCTCACCGCTACCCTATTACTCCCTCCCACTTTACAGACAGGGAGACTGAGGCACAGAGCGTTGCACTGACTTGCCCAAGGTCGCAGCGGTGGATGGCAGAAGGGGCCCAGCGCCCTGGCGGCAGTGGGGAGGCCCTGGCCACCTCCGGGTGACTCCCAGCCTCCCAGCGCCCGCCGACCTGCTGTCCTTATAAGGCCATGGACGTCCTTTAACCGATTCCAAACTCACCATGGCACCCTCAGCCTTCATCCTCCTCCGCGACGAGGAATGCGCGGCATCTTCCTATCAGCCGCTCGACGCGGGAAGACTCTTCCCACCAGAGCGCAGAATCAGCCCCACGCGGCCTCCCCTCGGGGGAACGCCTGGGCCCGGGCCGCGCCCTCTCACCTGCCGGGCGGGGAGAGGAGGAGGAGGAAGAGGAGGAGATGGAGGAGGCCGGGAAGAGGAGGAGGCTGGGGAGGAGCCTGCGCCCGGCGGGAGCGCCGCACAAAGTGAAACTCCTGGAAGTGGCAGCTGGGAGCGCAGGAGCGCGGGGACGGACGTGGCCTCGGCCCCCCCTCCCGGATCCCCGGCCCCCCCTCCCGGATCACCGGCCCCCGCCATGGCCCTGAGCAAGGGGCTGCGGCTGCTCGCGCGGCTGGAGCCCGCGGGGGAGAGCAGCGTCCTGCTGGAGGCGCGCGGCCGCGGCGACTGCCTGCTCTTCGAGGCCGGCACGGTGGCCACGCTCGGTGAGTGCGGCGCCTGTCCCGGTCCCCTCCTCTCCGGGCCCCGGGCCCCTCCTCTCTGGACCCCGGGCCCCGGGCCCCGCCTTTCTGGCCCCGGTCCCTTCCTTTCGGGACCCCGGTCCCCACCTACCCTGGCCCCGGTGCCCTGCTCTCCGGGCCTAGGTCCTGTCCCCCTCCTCTCCTGGCCCCGGTCCCCTCCTTTCCAGCCCAGGGGCGACGACCAGAGCGGAGACCCCGCGTTTGCTGAGACTGAGCCATGGCACCACCTCCCATCCCCGGGGCGCGGAGGTCGCGCGCGGGGGGCGGCCTTTGTGAATGGAATGGTGCGGGGACGGCGGTCGGCGACACTCTTGAGCCGGCCTCTCGGGGCGCTGAGGGTTCAGTTCTTGGAGCGCTCCAGCTATTTAGGGCGCGCGCCCTCCTGGGGCGCGTTACATATTCCTGAGAATCCCAGGGCGCCTGTGGCTCTGCTTCTTTTGCAGCCGTTGGTCAGGAAGCCAGGGATTGCCCTTTGGTTTGTGGGTCTGGCTTCAGGATGAAAGCGCCGTTAACTCAGAGACGCCCCCGAAATTGCTGCTGGCACGGTGGCCTCCTGTCGATGCTTGAAGCCTCAGTACAGCAATGTAAAGAACTTGGATTTTGACACACTGTCAGCTGACTATCTTTCTGTTGGGTGTGTTTGAAGTGAGGCTCAGAAGTCTGAGATGGCAGTGTGCTAAGGACTTTGGAGACACAGTCTCATTTAAATTTTCACAAGTAGAAAATAGATATTATTATCCCCGTATTGCAGATGAGTAAACTGAGGCCTGAAGAGAAACTTCCTTGCCAGGGTGACACAGCTCCTGTGTGTCTGACCATTTCTGTAAGATCACACAAGGCATGGCTTCTTGGTATCACCTACCTCCTCTCCCTTGTTACTCGTGAGGAAGGGCTAGGTAGCACCGCAGCGAGAGAAAGCAGGTAGGATTGTTAGGATTTTAATCACCAGCACTGGAGAGTGGGCTTTCGCCGGTTTCCACCTCTACCATCTTTCCATGTTCGAAGCTGAGCATAGCACGGAGCAGAGTCACCTGGACTGGAGGTGGCGGGCACGTGCAGCAGGTGCTCACTTGCTCAGTTCGCTAAAAATGTCTCTGGTCTGTTTTCTGCATTCGTGTACAGTGACTCTTCAGTGAGGATAGATGCCTTGGAAGCACCGTCTCTCCTATGTCTGCTTCCCTGTTCATTTAACAGTAGAATTCCCTCCTTCCATGAGGGAGACCCAGGTTCAATTCCCGACCAATGCACCTCAAATGCAGCTACCACCCATCTGTCAGTGGAGGCTTACTTATTTGCTGTGATGCTGATCAGCTTTCAGTGGAGCTTCCAGACGAAGACAGACCAGGAAGAAAGACCTGGTGATCTACTTCCACAATGTCAGCCAGTGAAAACCCTATGGATCACCGTGGTTCAGTCCCATTTACATGAGGTTGCCATAAGCTGGGGGCTGACTTGACGGCAGCTAACACCAGCAATCACTTCATTAGCATCTCCTTTTTGGCTTGTTTTCGGTCACTTGATTACGGCAACAATGTCTCCGGTATTCTCAGCAACACAAATGTGCAGTGAATTGTGGATTAAGTCATTATCAGATTATTCCAATTTGTGCCCTGTTCTGAAAAGTCCAAATCTGGTCATTTGGTAAGGCCTTGAAAGAAACCCACAAAAATTTCCATTCCATTTTAGATGTCTACTTCATAGCACGTTTATCAGAACCGAGATTCATTTCATGGTACAAAATCACTGCTTCATCAGATATAAATATGTCCTTTGGTTGGATTATAGCAAAGTTAAGTAAGGTTCATACACATTTAAGAGTTCCTCTGAAGCCAGTAGGGAAAAAAGATTTTATTTTTTCCAAAGCGAAGATTTTAACATGATTAATGATGGTAAAATAGTGCATATTTTCCATTAAGAAATTAAATTAGTGCTGAGGTGCATTTTCATTACATTGACAGCTGATTCCAGAACAGAGGGTATACGGAAAGTGATGGACCTGCCCTCTACTACGTGTGAAGTCCTGGTGGCACAGTAGTTAAAGCTCTCAGCTGCTAACAGAGAGGTTGGTAGTTCAAAACCACCATTGGCTCCACGGGAGAAAGGCGTGGCAGTTGGCTTCTGTAAAGATTTACAGCTTTGGAAACCCTAGGGGCAGTTCTCCTCTGTCCAGTAGGGTCTTTATGAGTCAGAATTGGCTTGATTTTTTTTTTTTTCCTACTACATGTGGTTCACATCTGTTACTTAACCTAGCATTCATTTACCAGGAGATCTTGCGTTGAATAAGCCAAAAAGAAAAAAAAAAAATGAGTTGCTGTTGAGTCACCTCTGACTCATGGTGACCCTATGTGTGTCAGAGTAGAACTGTGCTCCATAGGGTTTTCAATAACTGATTTTTTGGGAGGAGATTGCCAGCCCTTTCTTCCGAGCCACCTCTGGGTAGGTTTGAATCACCAAACTTTGGGTTAGTAGACTAGCATGTTGACTGACTACACCACCCAGAGACAGCGACTGGGCTGAATACTTAACTTTTAAAGTTTAGTTTTCTTAAATGAAATGAAATGAAACTCTTTACAAAGTAGCTGCAGCATTTGGTGGTATTGCTGGCCCAGAGAAGGACTGTCGAGTCTTCTGTGACTAGAAAGTTGTTTCAACTTGTTAAATATCCTAGACAGGTGATGACTGTACAGAGGGGCTTGGGACCTGAAATTCCCATCTGTGTTTGCAGGGCTAGTGTTTTTGCTTTACTTTCCTTGACAAGGTTAAGAGCACCTTCATTTTTTACAAGAAAGTTGCAATCTCTAGTCTTGTGTGGGACGCACACACTTGTGCCAGCCAACATGTTGTCGTTAGCTGCTGTCGAGTTGGCACCCATCTCACAGGGAACCCATCCCCAAGGGAACCAAATGCTGCCCGGTCCTGTGCCATCCCCATGATCGGTTGGTGTCTTAGGTATCCAGTGTGGCTTTAAAAGAAATACCAAAAGTGGATGGCTTTAACAAACACAAATTTATTCTCTCACAGTCTCGAGGCTGTTGTTGTTGTTAGGTGGCGTCTAGTCAATTCTGACTCATAGTGACCCCATGTACAACAGAACGAAACACTGCCTGGTCCTGCGCCATCCTCACAGTCGTTGCTATGTTTGAGCCCATTGTTTCAGCCACCTCGTCAATCCATCTCGTTGAGGGTCTTCCTGCTTTTCACAGACTCTCTGCTTTACTAAGCATGATGTCTTTCTCCAGGGACTGGTCCCTCCTGATAACATGTCCAAAGTATATGAAAGGAAGTCTTACCATCCTTGCTTCCATGGAGTATTCTGACTGTACTTCTTCCAAGACAGATTTGTTCATTCTGCTGGCAGTCCAGAAATTCATTCTCTCACAGTCTAGGAGGCTGTTGTTGTTGTTGTTAGGTACCGCCGAGTCGGTCCCAATTCGCTGGAGCATTCTGACTGCACTTCTTCCAAGGCAATTTGTTGGTTCTTCTGGCAGTCCATGGTATATTCAATATTCTTCACTGTCTTTGTCATCTAGTGCTGCTCCAACAGAAATACCACAACTGGATGGTTTCAACAGAGAAAGTCCATTCTCTCACAATCCAGTAGGCTACAAGTCCAAATTCAGGGCATCAGCTCCAGGGGAATGCTTTCTCCATCGGCTCTGGGGGAAAGTCCATGTCATCAGTCTTCCTTTGGTCTGGGAGCTTCTCTGCGCAGGAACCTCAGGTCCAAAGGACACGCTCTGCTCCCAGTACTGCTTTCTTGGTGGTATGAGGTTCCCATGTGTCTCTGCTTGCTTCTCTCTTTTATATCTCGAAAGAGATTGCATTAAGACACTGATTTTGTCAACCTCATCAGTATAACCTCATCACAGTGATAGAATTTCCAACACATGAGGAGATCACATATAATCTCATCATAGTGGTAGAGTTTACAACACATAAGGACATCACATCAGATAACACAATCATACAATACTAAGAATTACAACCTAGCCAAGTTCTACACACATTTTTTGGGGGACACAATTCAATCCATGACATTCACCAACACCACAGTTCAAAGGCATCATTTCTTCTTCGTCTTTCTTATTCATGGTCAACTTTCTCATGCAGATGAGGCGACTGAAAACACCATAGCTTGGGTCAGGTACACCTTAGTCTACAAGGTGGCATCTTTGCTTTTCAACACTATAAAGAGATTTGCCCAATGCAATGCAACTTTTGATTCTTAACTGCCGTTTCCATGGGTGTTGATTGTGGATCCAAGTAAAATGAAATCTTTAACAACTTCAATCTTTTCTCCTTTTATCATGATGTTGCTTATTGGTTCAGTTTTGAGGATTTTTATTTTCTTTATGTTGAGGTGCAATCCATACTGAAGGCTGTGGTCTCTGATCTTCGTCAGTAAGTGCTTCAAGTCCTCTTCACTTTCAGCAAGCAGGGTTGTGTCATCTGCATAACGCAGGTTGTTAATTTACCCACCAACCACTAAGGCCAAAGATGAAGAAATTGAAGATTTTTACCAACTTCTTAAGTCTGAAATTGATCGAACATGCAATCAAGATGCATTGATAATTACTGGTGATTGGAATGCGATAGTTGGAAACAAAGAAGAAGGATCTGTAGCTGAAAAATATGGCCTTGGTGATAGAAACAGTGACAGAGATCTCATGATAGAATTTTGCAAGACTAGCGACTTCTTCATTGCAAATACCTTTTTTCAACAATATAAACAATGACTATACAGGAAAAAGAGGAAGACCCTCAGCAAGATGGATTGACACTGGCTGGAACAATGGGCTCAAGCATAACAAGCACTATGAGGATGAGGCAGGACTGGACAGTGTTTCGTTCTGTTGTACATGCATAAGGTGGCTGTGACTCGGAAGCGACGCTATGACACCTAACAATGACAACAACAACATACACATGGACCTCGCCAGATGGACTACACAGGAATCAGATCG